GGGCAGGCACCCAGCAACCAGTCCAACTGCTGCCTGTGAAAAAAAGGAAATCCTGGGGCGTTGGAGGCCCCGGGTGGCCGGGGAGAGCCCTGCCCGTGGCCCCGGAGCTGCCCCGTGGCCCAGCCGCCGCATCACAATGTGCCGCCGCAGCACCCACAGTGACCTCGGCCGCGGCCACCAGCGTCCGTCCCGCAGTGCGGCTCTGTGCCAGCGCGGGGCAGCGTGGGGAGACACAGGCTCCCAGCGCAGTGGCACTGCCTGGCACGGGCACACTGCTTCACGTGCCCACTTGCGGCACCATGGGACAGGCGAACTGCTGCGGCGGGAGGCGTGCTGCCAGCCCCACTCCCAGCACGCAGGGATGGCCCAGGGACCTTCGCCGGGGGGCTCCTCGCCCCCGCCTCGGGCTCTTGGGCAGGGAAGCCTCCCAGCCCCGGCAGCCACCGAGCGCCTTCGTCTCGAGCAGGAGTCCCCAGCTCCTCCTCAGCGACCGTGTGCAGGTGACGCGCCACCAGCGCACCAAGGACAGGCACCTGCTGCTCTTCCCAGACGCCCTCGCTATTGCCAGCTTCAAGTAAGAATGGCAACCAGAGCCGTCCTTCCTCGCCGCCACGGCCTCTGCCAGCAGCCCCAGGGCACCGCGGCTCCCGCTGCAGGAGCAAGCGCCTCCGTGGGGCTGCCTGCACAGCCGCTGGCCCGCAGCCGACGCGCGCGGCTTCCTTTGAAGCCTGGCAGGGCTGCAAAAGCAAGGCGGCACGGGCTTTCTTGTAAACCCGAATGCTGGCGGGGGTGCCCACAGCTGGGCAGGGGAAGGCACTTTAGCCAAGGTCTTTGCATTTGCTCCTCCCTGAGCAGCTGCTGTCTGCAGCAAGTATCGGTACTGCCCAGCACGGCTTGTCCAAGCTTCTAGCATCCAAAAGCCCCATGGAGGGCGTCCAGAAGGCGGCCTTCCTCCTGTCCTCCCTGAGCGTCCGCTCTGCGGATGCCCTTTGCTCCCCACGAGCGCTCGTGGTCCAAATGAGCTGCAGTGCCCTGCCCGGCTGTCCCTAA